GTGGTTGGTGCATAATTCTGAATAATAGTAGTATTAACTAGTCTTCCTTGTAGATATATGGATATTTTCCTATCACTGACAGCATTGTACTTCAGGCTAGATCTTCAAACATCCTTTGTGATGATGAATGCCATGCCATTTCTCTTCAAATTGTCATTCTCGGCATAGTAGATCATTGTGTGATTCAAAATGCCCAAAACCAGCCATTTCAGCTCACTAATGCCTAGGATATCAATCTTTATGCATTCCATTTCATTTTTAACAGCTTCCAATTTTCCTAGATCCATACTTTGTACATCCAGTGTTCCGATTATTAATGAATGTTTACATCTGTTTCTCCTCAATTTGAGTCATGCAACGTCAGCAGATAGGGGTCTTGAAAGCTTTACGTTATCCATATCAGTAAGGTCTGTTCTACTCTGATGATGCAGCTCTTTCCCGGTTTTATTTTGAGAGCCTTCTGATTTAAGGGGCTTGTCTTCTTACACTGTATCTGACATGTTTCTGGGCTATTCATAAAGTTGTGCAGTAATGTATCAGACAGCGTTTCTCTGCTATTCATAAGGTTTTTGCTGGCCAATTCTTTGAGAAGTGGATGGCCTCTTCCTTCTTCCTAGTCTGTCTCAGTGTGTAAGCTCCTTTGAAAACTGTGCACCATGTGCAACCCTGCTGGCATTTGAAACACCGGTGGCACAGCCTTTAGCCTCACATCAGAACACTCAAGCCACCACAGTACAACAAACTGACAGACAAGTTTGTCTCCCATAGCTGTTTGTAACCTCTCTGCCTTCTCCTTACCTGGATCCACGCCACTGCTTGCTCTGTGGTCCCCTCTGGTTTTTCTTTCCCCCACTTTCCTGCCTCTTGGGGTTGGGGTGTGGGTCTCTACCTTTACCTGGATCCCTGCCGCTGCTTGCTCTGTGGTCCCCCCTGTTTTTTCTTTCCCCCACTTTCCTGCCTTTTGGGGGTAGGGCCTGGATCCCTTTCCTTACCTAGATCCCTGCCTCTGCTCACTCTGCTAACATACCTAGAAGTATGTTAATGCTATAATGTTTTCTATGATTTTACAAGTTTACACAATTGTTGATAGAGTTTCTACTTCTTTTCCTATATTTCATACTTTTCAGATTTACCATGTTTCACAGAAATAATGTGCACATTATATATTTTTTGCAAACTGTGTAACTCACTCTCACAATAGTTCCCTATACACTAGGTGTGTTACATACATGTGTATATTATTTCCATGGGCATGTTGTAAGAAAATACAATATAAAATTCTGCCAAAATAATGGGTATAAAGTTGTAGTCTATCATTGTAGTTTCAATTTCCCTTATTAGAAATGTATGTGGACATATTTTTACACATGTATTGTGTAGACAGGAACACTAGTGGCACAATGGTTAAGTGCTCAGTTGCTATTGAAAAGGTTGGTGGTTTACACTCACCAGTCACTCCATGGATGAAAGATATAGCAGTTTGCTTACTGTCTTGGAAACCCTACAGGGCAGCTCTAGTCTATTTTTTAGAGTTACTGTGAGTTGAAATCAATTAATTGTCAGCTGGTTATTGTTCAGCCAAATTCTTTCCCACCAAAATGCCCGTTATCTCATATCTATTTTTCCTTTGGAATCCTTTGTCTTCTTTTAATAAATTTATAGAAGGATTTTTGTATATTTTGGTTTTTGTTATTGTTCGGTGTCTTCAAGGCAGTTCCAACTCACACTGATCCCAGGCGCAACAGAAAAAAACTTTGACTGATCCTGTACCATCTTCAAATCCTTGCTTTGTTTGAGTCCATTGCTGTAGCTACTGTCAATCCATCTTGTTGAGGGTCTTCTTCTTTTTCCTTAAGTCATTTCTTTCCTTTTCTTTTAGGCTTCCAGACATTCATTTTAATTACTTTGAAATAACATCATTGATCACCAACTGGCTACCAAGCACCTGTTGTAACTGCTGTAGCTGTGAAATTAACATAATTTTTATCTGCTCAGCTATACAAAACTCATCAAGTTTTCTCTTGATAAAATGTAGTAGAAATCCCAAAGAACAAGAAGAGAGCACTAATTGAAGGTCAGGTTTACTATCTAGCACCATAATCCAGTCTTAGGATCTCTCAAGTAGCTGGAAGGAAGGTAGGGAGAAGTGAGAATATGGGGAAGGTATGGGAAGCCCCAATTTTCTCAAGGAAAACTTAGGGTCTAGCAAAGAAGAGCCTCATGGAGGCTGTGATGAAAACTGGAGCCATTGGCTGGAATGTGAGGAGGTCCTCAAGGGTGGTCTGATCATTGTGTTCATCGGCAGCTGGAGCCCTCTCATGAGCTAAGTGGCTTTCTGGCATCCCAGGCCTTCTTAATATCTTCAGGCTTTTAGACTAAGTTTGGTATGTCATAGTTCTGAGCCAGATACATTCCAGTGATGTTGCCAAAAGTAAATCCAAGCAGGAAATGGAGCATGATATTGGCAGGGAGGGCAAGGAGGTAAGAAGGAGGACTGCAGCTCTCAAGCCTGTCCAACTTTCGCTAACTCTTTACCAAGTATAACATCTTTCTCCAGGGACTGGTCCCTCCTGAGAACATGTCTAAAATATGTTAGATAAAGTCTTGCCATCCTCACTTCTAAGGAACATTCTGGCTGTTCTGCTTCCAAGATGCGTTTATTCTTTCTCCTGGAAGTCCATGGTACATTCAATATTCTTTGCCAATACTTAAATTCAAAGTCATCAATTCTTTGATTTTTCTTACTCATTATCTGACTTTCACATGCCTTTGAGGTAATTGAAAATACCATGGCTTGAGTCATGCACAATTTAGGCTTCAAAGTGACATCTTTACTTTTGAACACTTTGAAGAGGTCTCTTGCAGCAGATTTGCCCAATGCAATACACCATTTGATTTCTTGACTGTTACTTCAATGGACATTGATTGGAGATCCAAGAAAAATGAAATCCTTAACTTTAACAGTTTCTGTTTATCATAATGCTGTTTATTGGTTCACTTGTGAGGATTTTTGTTTGCTTTATATTGAGGTGAAATCCATACTGAAAGCTATAGTTTTTGATATTCATCATTAAGTGCTTTAAGTCCTCTTTGTTTTTAGTAAGCAATCTGCATAATGTAGGTTATTATTGAGTCTTCCTCTAATCCTGATGCCACATTCTTCTTCATATAGTTCAGTTTCTCACATTATTTGTTCCACACACAGATTGAATGAATATGGTGAAAAGTACCAATTTGATGCACACATTTTCTGATTTTTAAACCATGCATTATCTCTTTGTTCTGTTCAAATGACTGTCTTTTGATCTATGTATAACTTCCACAATAAACACAATGAGATGTTTTGGAATTCTTATTTTTGTAATGCTATCCATAATTTGTTATGATCCACACAGCTGATTGATTGCCTTTGCATCGTCAATAAAATACAGCTAAACATATTGTACAGAGCCCTGATGGGACAATGCTTAAGCACTTGGATGCTAATAGAAAGATCAATTGATTTGAACCCATCAGCCACTCTGCAGGAGAAAGATGTGGCATCTGCTTCCATAAAAATTTACATTCTAGGAAATCCTGTGAAATAGTTCTACTATATCCTATAGGGTTGCTATGAGTCTGAATCAACTCCACAGCAATGAGTATGAGCATCTTTCTGGTATTCTTTGCTTTTAGCTAAGATCCATCTGACATCAGTAATGATATCTCTCATTCCACATCCTCTACTGAATTTGGCCAGAATTTCTGGCACTTCCCTGTTGATGTGCTGGGGCAGCAATTTTTTATTTATTTTCAGCAAAATTTTACTTGTATGTGATATTAATGATATTATTTGATAATTTTTGCTTTCTATTGGATCACGTTTCTTTGGAAGTGGCACATTCATGACTCTCTTCCTGTCAATTGGCCAGGTAGATGTCTTCAAAATATCTTGGCTTAGGTGAGTGGTGCTTCCAGTGATACATCCATTTGTCAAAACATTTCAATTGGTATTGAAATGTCAATTGCTGTTGTTGTTGTTATTTGCCATCGAGTCAGCCCTGACTCATAGCAACCCCTCCTTGGGTTTCTGAGGTAGTATCACTACGGAAGTAGGATTGCCCAACCTTCCTTCTGAGGAGTGGCTGGTGGGTTTGAACTGCCAGCCTTCTGGTTAGCAGTCAAGTGCCTTAGGCACTATGCTACCAGAGCTCCTTGTCAATTGCTAGAGCGTTGTTTTTCTTCAGTGCCTTCACTGCAGCTTGGACTTCTTTCTTCAGTACCATTAGTTCTTGATAATATGCTACCTCTTGAAATGGTTGAACATTGGCCAATTCTTTTTTGGTGCAGTGATTGTATATTCCTTTCATTTTCTTTCGATGCTTCCAATATCCTTCCATATATGCCCTTAGAATCCTTTACTATTGCAATATTGTTGTTGTTGTTGTTGTTATGTGCCGTTGAGTCAGCCCCGACTCATAGTGACCCCTCCTTGGGTTTCCGAGGCAGTATCACTATGGAAGTAGGATTGCCCAACTTTCCTTCCGAGGAGTGGCTGGTGGGTTTGAACCGCCAGCTTTCTGGTTAGCAGTCAAGTGCTTTATCCACTATGCTACCAGACTTGATATTTTCTTCAGTTCTTTCGGCTTGAGAAATGCTGAGTATATTCTTCCTGTTTTGTTTTCTAACTCCAAGTATTTGCACATTTCATTATAAACTTTATTTTGTCAAAGCAACCCTTTGAAATCTTCTGTTGAGCCCTTTTACTTTATCATTTCTTCCATTCACTTGCTAGTCTATGTTTAAGAACAAGTTTCAAAGTCTCTTCTGACATCTATTTTGGTCTTTTCTGTCTTTCCTGTGTTTTTAATGACCTTTTGCTTTCTTCATGTATAATGTCCTTGATATCATTCCACAGTTCATCTGGTCTTTGGTCATTAGTGTTCCATGTATCAAATCTATTCTTGATATGGTCTCTAAACTCAAGTGGGATATACAAGCAGTTCCCAACTTATTATGCATTTGAGTTACCATGAATGAGCTTATGACTGCCTGGATGACAATTATGTCATTCAAAGATTAGCTTTAAATGGTTTTCTCCCAGTGCATACCTACTGCCTTGAGAAGAGCATTCCTTTCAAGATTCTGCTGTTACTTGACAATGCCAAGGATATCTTCCTTATGTAGATGATTTAAATCAAGTTATGTAAGTGGTGTATTTACCTCCCAAAATGACAGCATGATTCAGTCTATGGTTCAAGATGCAATTGGCCCTTTCAAGGCATACTGCCTATGGACTATGTTTGCTCAAGTAATGGCTGCCACAAATGGAACTAGGCAATATTAGGTGATTTCTGGAAGAATTATAATATTTTTCAGTGTACTCAGAACACTGTATCTTCCTGGGAGGATGTTTCAAAAAATACATGCAGAGGATCTGGAAAAAAAATACTCAGTTATGTGAACACACTTTAAGCATTTGATCAGGGTAATATTATGAAAGATATTGGTGAAAAAAAAAAAAAAAACATTCATATGGCAAGAGCACTGAATTTTGAGCTTGATATTGTAGATGTAGAACAGATCAGAGATCATGATGAAGAATTGACAAATCCAGGGATAATGGATTTTGAAGAGGAAAGAAATGTTGAAGAAGAAAGAGATAATGAGGAAGAGGAAGGAGAGAAGTTGTCAAAAACAATGTTTACACTGAAAGGATTACCTGAAGTTTTTTGTAACTAAATTAGGGGCTTCAATTGCTCGAAAACATGGACCCAAATGCTGATCACTTTGCTAAATTGATTAGCAGATTCAGGAAACAGAAAGAAAAAGTACTAAACTGACAACTCTCATTGATTTTCTGAATAGAAATGTTTTCCCCATTTCAAAAGATAATCTAGATGATTCTCATACTTTCAGAAGGAGATTATTACTGCAAGTGACAAAATGCCAACATTGCCCAACTCTTCATTATTGGTATAAGGTTTATGATTTGTGTATTTTTATGTATGTATGTATTAAAAATTATGTATGCATGTACTAAAATTTATGTATGGATATATTAAAATATAGGCATATGCTTATATGCAGTATTCCTAAACACTAAAGAAAAAGATTGGATTTATAAATATACTGGTAATAAAAGGTAATGATAATGAACACTAAAAAAAAAAAAAAGTATTCAACTTATATCAGAACCAATTTATGATGGAATCCTCAGATGAAACCCTTTAGTAAGTAAGGAAATACCTGTAATCAAGGACCTCCTTTGGCTATTGTGTGCTTGTTTTAATTTTCCTATGCTTTACCTTGAATTTACATATGAAAAATTAAGGGTCTGTTGCACAGTTGGCCATTGGCCTTGTTCTGATTGATGGCATTTGGTTTCTCCATTTTCTTTTTTTTATAAATTCAGTTTATTTGATTTGTGTGCATTCCATATAGCATGGTCCAAGTGTATAGTTGTCGTCTCTATCCTTAAAAAAATATTTTTATGATGAATAAGTCATTAATCTTTCAAAATTCTATCATGCAATCTCTGGTGTTGTTTCTATCACTAAGGTTATATTTTCCAACTACGGATCTTTCTTTTTTTTTCCAACTTTGATATTCTCATTACCAGTTATCACCAATGCATTTTTGTTGCATGTTTGATTAATTTCAGACTATTGAAGTAGGTAAAGATCTTCAATTTCTTCATCTTTGGAGTTAGTGGTTGCTGCATAAATTTGAATAATATTCATATTAACTAGTGTTGCTAACATTTTATTGGTTATATGTATCTCAAATAACATGTCCCACTTGGTAGCTTGACTTTTCACTCTTTTTATGGTTACCTTTAATATATAGAATATTTTATTTTAATGTTGTTGCTGTTAGGTGACATCAAGTTTTTTTTGACTCATAGTGACCCTATATAGAACTGAAACAAATACTGCCTGGTCCTCCACCATCCTTCCAGTCATTCCATACTTTAGCACATTGTTGCAGCCACTGTGCTCATGTCTGTGTTCATCAATGTGTATATCATTGAGGGTCTTCTTTCTTTTCACTGACCTTCTACTTCACCAAGTATGATATCCTTAACCAAGGACTGGTTCCTCCTGATAACATGATCAAAGTAGCAGAAACAAAGTCTGGCCATTTTCATTTCTAAGAAGTATTTTGGCTGCACTTCTTCTGAGACATATCTGTTTGTTCTTCTAGCAGGTCATAGTATATTCAGTATTGTTTGCTGACACCATAACTCTATGCATTAATTCCTCTTTGGTCTCCCTTATTCATAGTCCAGCTTTCACATGCATATAAGGCAAAAATATCATGGCTAGGATAAAGTGAATGTTAGTCTTCCAAATGACATCTTTGCTTTTTAATATTTTAAAGAGATCTTTTGCAGAATATTTGCCCAATGCAACATGTTGTTTGATATCTTGGCTGTTGTTTCCATGGGTGTTGATTATGGAGCCAAGTAAAATGAA